CTTGCTCAGGCTGGTCTCGAACTCCTGAGCTCAAACAATCTGCCCGCCTCGGCCTCCCAGAGTGCTAGGATTACAGGCGTGAGCCACCGCACCCGGGCTATGTGGACTTTCTTTTAAGGAGAAAATGTGATTAGGTGGTTTTAGGCCCCAGTTGCTTGTCAGTTCTGGTGTTTTGGGTTTTTTTACTATTAATACCTGACACCCTCCCTTGGTCTACACATTCCTTTTTGATATCTTTGTTTTTCTCTGATTCTTTACTGTTTTGCTCAGTATTCATCCCTCCATCATCTCCTGTTCCCCAGCCCCCATCAAGAAGAAATGAGTAATAAACATTTGGTGTGTGTAGTGGGGAAGGAGGGAACTTTTTCTACTGTAGTATTTATGCTCTGTCTAAATTGGTAGATTGCAGTTTTTTTCCTAAGCCCAGTCCTATAAAAAACCTATCCAATTTCCTGGTTGCTATCGGAAATTGACGATATTTCTAACCATATTTCTGACCAAGTGATGGGGGTATCTGATGGACTACTATCTCCACTCCTTTTTGACAGTTCTGAGATTGAACTGTGGTTTACATTATTCAGGAATTGGATTTGAAGCCTTTTAGACTTTACTGTTTCCCTGATAAGTTCTTAACTGAAGTGTATGTGTGGACAGCTCTCTGCCACAGGACAAAGGATAGTAACTGCTAGATGAGCTCCTGAGGACCATCTAGAAACTGAACCCCGCCAGCATTGTTTTACTATTGTTGATTCACACACAAGCCTGTGATCTTCCTATTTCAGTTTATGGCTTTTCTCTATGCATCTCTACTTTTCCTGAAGATTGTAAATTTTGTCCATACTTTCCATTCAGAATTTGCTTCTGGTGTTTCTGGGTTGAACTCTCTTCAAATATTTGGTGCTTGGCATGTATAGATACTTCATTTCATTAAAATTGGATAGCCTAGCCTTTGCCCACTAGTCCCTGGTTTCAGAAGCTTAATCAGGCAAAACTAGCTCTTTTAAGTTTCTGAAATATGGGGGGGAGGAGGTGGCTTATGTAATCAAAAACATAACTTGAAATCCCTCAATGAATCAGCAAAATAGCATCTTGTGTTTTATAAATGCATGTTTTAGACTTAGCAAGCTTTCTGACTATTTAAATAGACTCAGTATTTCTATTTTAGCAATCTTAACCATGGGTGATTTAATTAATGGCACTTCTAAGTTAAGTTCAGCAGCATGCTTCTCCACAGGGGGGAGGGGAATCTTATTCTCTTTTTAGATGTTAAGGCTAGATGATTTGGAAATAGCTTTATGTTTTCCATTTTTAGTCTAAAAATTATGCAACCATAATGCCAGAGAAAAATTTGAAGAGAAAAAGTCACCCACAAAACCACCAACCTTTTACATATTACTTATAATTACAATTGTAGCCTAGAATAGTTTGTGATCTCTTGGTTCCTTAATGCACCAAACACTCTTATTTTTATCTAGGGTTCGAAATAGGTTTTAATAGGTGTAATTTCCCCCCATTTTTCTTTCCACCACTTTTGGGCACTTTGGTGTTACCTGGTTTTTTTTGCTGGAATAGATAAAATTCTTTGAATACCTTTGCGTATACATAGTATTTTATTCACGTTTAAATTTTTTTTTAAGAAGAATTCTTAGCAGTGAGACTATTGGGCAAAACAATATTGTTTTACAGCTTCTGTAAAGGCATATATGGCCCTGTAGTTTACTGGGGGTGGAGTAAAATTGTTAGGTGTTTCAATTAGAAATAATTTGGGAGCCCCTATTACTGAATTCACCTAGAGACCTGGGAATCACATTTTAAATAAACTTTGAGATAAAGATAATTTAAATTTTTAAAAAAGGAATCTTATAAATATGTATTTAATAACATCTTAGAAATAGGAATTTAGAGATTATCTAGTTTGACTCATCAAATGATGTGTATATTCATGCACACGTACATGCCTATGTTGTACTCTCGGGTTTGGAAGAATCTAGGGGTATACAGATTGTTAGGATGTTTTAGATTGAACAGAAGGGAAGAATATGATACCTTTGATGTAGTTTCAGCTTGTTTTGTGTGGCTCCATGGAAAAGACTTTAGAGACAGATTTTAGGATTAGCATAAAGAAGTCTTTAATAATGAACTCAAAAATAAGTCTCTAATAAATAATTCTTAAAAGTAGCCAACAATGGGAATAGACCTCTTCCAGTGATAAATTTTAAGTCACTTGGATTATTTAAGTATTAATAAATTTGGTATCTACTTGGGATATTCATATGTAAAAGTTTGAGATTAAATTGTATGAATCCTTCTTGCCTGCTGACTGCAGGTAAAGCTTTTTGGTTTAGACAGATCAGTTTCCTGATCCCCCTTATCATTGAAATTCCTTTTCTGTTCCCTTAACCTAAGATTTAAAAACTATTAGGGTCCTGTATTTGTGAGCCTCTCAAGACTTGTTAATAATATTTGCCTTCATAGGGCAGGCTACTTTTTCCTGTTTTCATCTCTTACTACTTAGGACAGGAGATGTCTTGTAAATAGTGTTTTCAATTCCTGAAATGCTAAAAACACAAACACAAAAATCTTTTTAGGATTGTTTTGCTCAGTTGCTGAGTCCTCACTTGTCTTCAGAATCTTACCCAGGA